CAAAAAATTACCCTTAATCGGGTACCTGCTGACCCGGTTTTCTTTTTTTATTTTATTATTAGTATTTTAAATTAAATTTTTCGTTACTAATTTTAAAATTAATTTACGCTAACATTTTAAATCTCTATTTTTTCAAATTATTTAACTTTAATATTTAAATTATATCTTAAATTATTTATTTCAATCCTACATTATTTTAAATTTATTTGTAAATTTATAATTTTATTTTATATTTTAATACTTTAAAATTTATCTTTAAATTATATAGTTTGAATTTATAAATTTTATGTTGATGATATGTATTATAAACTTTTAAACTTTTAATTTTATGTTTTTTAATGTAGATTTTCTGAAAAACTAATATAAATTTAAGAAAATAAAATAAATATTAATCGGGTATCTGTATTTTACTGGTACCCGACTTACGGATACCCATCTCTTATGCGTTGGGTTATGGGCGGAATTTTCGTGATCATAAAATCTCGGGTACCAAGTATTTCGACTACCTAAAAATGTAGATACTCGGATTTGAACACCCATAGTTTTGATAGTGTCAACCAGGAGTGTGCAAAATCATATATTGGATTCGATCCGATCCAAAAATTTGGATATCCGAAAATTTTGGATACCTAAAATAGTGATCCGTATCCAATTCGAAAAAACTAGATATCCGAAATTCGGGTATCCAATTTTTCCGGATTAGATATCCAAATATACGAATCTGAATATAAAAATTTAATTTAATAAAAAATTAATTTTATAATTTTAAATTTTGTGATTTAATGTTATATATTTGATACTTCTACTATATTATATATAAATATATTTAATTACTACACACAATAAATAATTAAATACTCTAATTTTTATTGAGTTAGAGCTTTAATGGGTGAGTGGGTTACTCATTTATTGTGCTAAATATATCTAAAATTTAAAGGACCAATTGTTTTCTGGATAATCTGAAAGTGGATTTTATCCGATCTGTATCCAATCCGATTATTCGATTTTTTTTGGATATCCGATCCGAATTATCTGAAAATCAAAAAATGAATCGAATATTTGAATTTTCGGATCGGGTCACCGGATCAGATCGATCGAATCAGATCATTTTGCACACCCCTAATGTCAACGGTGACGGCCACAGAACAATGGTGGCTGGCCGACGACGAAAAATGTAAAATTTGAGATTTTTTAATTATAATATTATTTTTTTAAAATAAAATAATTTTTAAAATAAAATAATTTTTAAAATTTTATACGCATGCCACGTGTCAGATAACGACTAAGTTTAATAATTTTTACGATCAAGATATAGGCCTGTAAATGAACTGAACGTTCAGCGAACCGTTCATGAATCGTGCGGCGGGAAGTTCGTTTATGTGTGTTTATTTATTAAATGAACGAACATGAACATAGGTCTCGTTCGTTCATTTACGTTCGTGAACGTTCGGTTATGTTCGTTCGGTTATATTCGGTTATGTTCGTTTATGTTCGTTCGGTTATGTTCGCTTATGTTCATTCATTTATGTTTAACTCAATCTTCTTAAATCAATTTTGGTGACCAATTTGTAAGTATCTTAAAAATATTAATTAATATGATATTATGATGACCAATTCCATAATTAACCCAATTTTATTTGGAGATTAAATCCAATATGTTAACCCGTGAGGCACCTCACACCTATATTCATTTCTCCCCTTTTTTCCCAAACCCTAGTGTTCACTAGAGAGTGGAGACGATCGCTGAAAGCTTCAAAACAAGTTATATTATAGTGCAATCTGAAGTTTTACAGATATGCTTTCATCTCTTTCTCTGTTTTATTTGACTTAATAGTTGATATGTAAAGTTATTGCTGGTATCTTCACATCTAAAACTCAAGAAAACATTATACTTCTTTCTAGAAATAGATGGGAAGATAAAGGTAACAATCGGAAGTATATGAGCATCAGTAAAGAGAAAAATATATAGAATTTGCCAGAAAACAAAACAAAGGTTTCTATGTAATTTCTGCAAAAGAGTGTAATAGCGGCAGTAATGAGTTTTCCAAGAAGAACCCATTAATAAGTAGAAAATACACTTTGACAATGAACTTTTGTTTTCATAGTTCTTGTGTGACATTTAGTTGTGGAGTAGACTTTAGGTACGCTAAAATTTTGAATGGTGGTTTAGCAATAATATCAGTTACGATATGTAGCATCGAAGGGATTTCGGATCTATGTTATTGCCTTGTAGTCCAATTTATACCGTTCGAAATCTTCATGCTGTTAAATTTTATACTCTGCCAACGGAAATGACCATTATTAACAAACCTCACTAAAGTCTGACATTGATGTCACAAAACTTTTAGCCGGCGAATTTATTAGAATAACGTATTGGAAAATGATTGTTCATATGTAATCATGGACCACTAAGATAAATTTTATATCGTTAAATTAAAGTCGTGTGAATCATTTAATATCTTTAAAAGATCAATCGAAATATTTGATATCTTCAAATATTTCATCACTGCTAATCAGCTCTTACGCTATTTATCACTGTAGATTTAGTTGATTTGCATTGTCGATTATTTTTTATGAAAGAACAATGGAAGGTAGGGTCTCCAACGTTTATGTTCGTTTATGTTCATGTTCATTTATGTTCGTGTTCGTTTATGTTCGTGTTCGTTTATATTCGTTTATTTATTAAATGAACGAACATGAACAAGTTATATTCCTTAATAAACGAATATGAACAAAAAAAAATTTGTTCGTTTATGTTCGTGTTCGTTTATGTTCGTTTATTTATTAAATAAACGAACATGAACATACATCCGTTCGTGCGCGTTCAATTCATTTACAGGCTTATCAAGATACCTAAAAATATAACATAGAAACCTTTAAATATATATTTTTAATGAAAAATTAATTGTACATCAAATCTTATTTCAAAGTAGATTTAGATACATATTTTTGTGTTAAGCCTATAAATAAATAAACTGTACGTATTTTTTTAACAGAGTTAGGTGGTTGTGGGTCGAACAAGTGGGCTGCCTAATTATTAACTATACCGTTGATCATAATGTTAGTGGATAAAGTCTACTCTACTTTGTTTAATTTTATATGTGAAACGACCAATCTTGTTATTGTCTCTTCATATTATAGGAATGATTAATTTACTAAATGTCTTTAAATTATCTTTCAAATTTTAAATTGATATTTAAGTTTTAAAATATTTTAATCAATACCATAAAATATTATTATCACATCAATAAAGTCCTTTTATTAGCCTATTTGCAAATTTAAACATTAAATGTGAGCTCAGAACGAACGTCAAGTGTATTTAAAATATATAGATCAAATTATAAGCATGTATATACATTGCATCGATAGCTTGGCTGTGACGTATTAGAAAATGTCAATAAAATCTAATAGAACTACTTTTTTAAATACGTCAAATTTTAATTATTTGGTTGATAAATGCATATGTATTTATAATTTTATCACATATTTAAACGTATTGTATGCTAGATTTGATCTAAAACTTAAGATATAAGTCAATTATTAAGCTGATAAAATGAGTTGATTAAAGTTATACGATACTTTGAGGCTTAATTAAATTATCCTGAAGTTAGAAGACCAATTTTAAATGTATGCAATGATTTGAGGATGTTAAAAGAAATTAACTCTTATAAAAATAAAATAGGTTAAAAGGGGAAGGGTGTGGTGTATCCGTTGGGATAAAAAGTCAAAGAGAAAATGGGGCAGAAGGCGACAAAAAGTGGGAGAAAGAAACGTTAGACACGTGACAGTAGAGAAGTAAAGAGTGGATATTTAAACGGAGGAGTCTTTGATTCTGAATGCATTTACATTTACATCTGCATTTGTTTGGCATTTAAATTTCATGTCCCTCACCCACGCCCAAACCTAACTCCACTCCCATCCTACCAAAAATAATGTAAATCTTGTTGGGTAAACTATATCATTCATCATTCAATTATCTTTTTACTCTTATTTTAATCATTGAAGTTTTAAATATTTTAATTTAATAACTAAACTTTCAAATTGTTCTTGTTTTGATTATTCTAACTTATTTTATTAATATTTTTAATGATCTGGCATATTTTTTTCACACAATATTAAAATAAAAAAAAATATAAACCCTTGAATCACACTTTAAACCCTAAATCCAAATCTCAAATAGCATCCTAAAAATCCTAAATTCCAACTCTAAACTCCAAATCACAACATCCCATCTCTAAATTATGGCACTTAAATCCTAAGTCACAGTACTCAAACCCTAAAATATCGACACCCAAATCACGCAATTCATACATCCCCTCACTATTAGAGCTTCGAGATGAATTAGGGTTTGAACGAGTATAAATTAGGATTTATGATTTGATATTTAAAAGATTTTTATTTTATTTTAATTAAAACAAATTTTATATTAAATATGAATAAAATATCTAATATAATAATAAAAATAATATTAAAATAATATATGTAAACAGGGAGTGGTAAAAAAAGAGCAATTAGAAAGTTGATAATTAAATTAAATGTTTTTAAATTTCAATGACCAGAAGAAAAGTGAGACGACAATTTATTGGTAAATGGTGTTATTTACCAAATCTATTTTAAGTAAGGTGACTCGCGTCAACTCAACCTCACTCGTCGGCCCTTCTTGCGACCCATCCATATTCCACTTATCCCATTTTTCTATATATATAATCGTCTCCCTACCCTTTTTACTACCCTTTTATTTCATCTTGCCCTTATTCTTTCTCTTTAGGTTGCTGCAACTTCAAGGGATTTCTTCCTTTTTTTTCTTCTTTTTCTTTCTGGGTTTACATTTGTATTGATTGTTTTCACTGTTCCGGCTCTAGGTGAGTCCCCCCTTTCTCTTGCTGTTCTTTTCTTTTAAAAGTTTTGTGCTTTTTTCAGTGTTGGAGCTAGGACAATTTATTTATTTCGTGCCCGTTTTTAGATCTGTTTACAATCTGATCATGTATGCGGGTGGTTGTTTCTGTGACGGGCTCTGTGCTTTTGTTTCTTTGATAATTGAAATAAAGATCGTTTCTTTAAAACTTTGATCTTTAACTGGTTGGGTCGTTTGATAATTTTGTATAAACAGGAGTTTACTTTTTTAGTGAAGACTTTTGACCTTAAAAAAAACAGCAGTAGCAATTAGCTAGTAGGAAAAGAGAGTTGACCCAATTTTTGATCTTCTGTTGGGCTCTGCAGAAGAACGTTTGAGCGTTACACGGTGCGGATTCTTCATCCCCAGAAAAAGGACTTTCCGGTCTCAAAGGAAATGGAGGTATACGGCAAAGCCATGGCTGCTGCCCCTGCAAATGTTATTTATTTGTCTACTATTCTGGGCCGTGATGGTCCTTTTCTTGTTCACAAATGCGATTGGAAATGTCAAAACGAGCATGTTTGTGGCAACATGTATCGCTGCAAACTAACAGGGATCACACACATCTGTGACAAGAACTGTAACCAGAGAATTTTGTATGATAACCATAGTTCCCTTTGCCGAGCAAGCGGCCAGGTCTTTCCCCTCACTCAAGCTGAGGAACAGGCGGTCAGAGGCGTCAGGAGGAAACTCGATGCCGATAATTCCCCATCCCCCGATGGCTGTGGTTTTAAGCGCAGGCGTGATGCACAGTTCCATCCTTCTCCTTTCGAGAGATCTTTCTCTGCTGTGAGTCCAATCTGCAGCCAAGTCGGAGATGGCATGGATACGAACTAAGATTAGATTAGGGTTTACATTACATATCCTATTATTAACCTTAAAGACTCGTATATCTTGTTTCCCTTTAAGTGTTCCTATTTGCTTCTCATGGGACAAATATGGATACATGGTAATTGACTTTGATGTTGGTGGACGGTACCTGCCTGTAGGAAAAGGAAACACTTTTATTTCTTATTTTACCTAATGCTATTTAGTTCCTCTTAGCTTTGTTGTGAAACTTTTGAGTTTAATTTAGTATCTTTCTAACTCTTCTTATACTTGGATTTATCAACTTTGACAGCTACAGGGTGCTTCTAGGTTCTTTATAGGAGTTGAATTTTCTTGTTTATATATGTTGATTGTAATTGTTAATGCTTCACTTTCATTTAATTATTTTATTGAGCATATGCAGTTGTGGATGTATGGTGATTTATCATGGTTTCTTAATTCTTCGGTACATATTGATGTGCTTCTGTAACTTTTTGCTTTGTTGGTTCACTAGTTGAATGCAGGTCGAAGAGAAATGACATGGCTATTTGTCATGTGATGTATATTTTCAAGTTTATTTTAGTCTCCTTTTTTCTCTCTCAATTTCTTATATGAGATCCTGAAGCATGTGTTGATTTTGCAGGGTCAAAAGTGTGCAATTCAGGAAGTTTAAATATGCTTTTGCAATCTTGAATGAATTCTTTTTTTGTTCCATTTCTAGGTTGTGAATTGAAATCTCCGACTTATTTTCAATCATTCTTATGTAGGCAAAATTTTTTCATTGCTTCTGTTGGATGGAGAAACCAATGGAAAGGTGCCATGTTATGCTTGTGTCCTGCTAGGGATCTCCTGTAGAATGCAAGGGCGTTCAACCTTACTCAAGTCGAACATATTGTTGCCATCTTCAGACAGCAACCAGGTAGAATTATATATCTATCTTGTAATGGCACAGTTTTGCTCATGGAAACTGCTATGTGCTGACTTGTTTCAACCATTCGCCACGTTTTTGCAGCTTTGATGGGGATAACAAACTGATGTGGGGTGTCTTTCTGCACGTCTGGTTGTGAACATGAGTTTATGATGTCATCTTTCTGAATAGATAATTTTGAGGTCTGAACATTGTTTACCAACTGAAAATGGAGATATAGGCAAGTTGGTTATTGATTCTCTTACTGCTTAATTGCTTGATTTAAGTTGCATGCCGTCTTCTCTATGATGAGAGTGAAATAACACATTTTCAGTTCTACTGGAACATGTGGTTTCAAAGATTTTGGATAAAATTCCGGATTTAATGCAATTTCACATGGACGTGTTTTGATGAAAATCATTTACACTATACATAGATTCATGAATGCTATAAAGGGATTAGCTTCTAAATTGAACTTCAACATTTTACCTCCTTTTATTTCAAAGATTAAAAGATAAATGAATAAACAAAATAAACTCAGTAAGTTAAAACTATCAATAGTAAAGCAATAGCATAATTTACATTTTTGACAGGTTAAAAAAGAGGAAAATCAAAAGAATTTTGAAAAGGAAAATACAATTGATTAAATATTATAATTTAAAAGGTTTAATCGGAAGTTTATTTATTTATTTATTTTAAATGGTATGATTGAATGTAAATCGTACGCAGGAGGATATCAGAATATGTATGATTAAAAACTTTTCTAATTTAGATAGAGAAAAAGAATATCCAAACCAACAATCGGATTTTTATTTTATTAATAGTTTAATTGGTTTTTTTCATTATTTTCTACTTGTTTTTAGCATTTAAACACAAACAAAGAGAAAATCTAAACCAAAAATTTATTTTTTCTTTAATAAATTATCAAATAGTAATATAAAAATATTAAACGGTGAAAGGAAATTACGAGTTGGTTGGGATGAAAAAAATATTAGGGTGGACCTTAGTCCGTGACGGTGCCGTACCAAATATATATGTGCATATCTATATCCATTTCCAGCGGCAGCACACCAGCACTACAGTCTCCTCTTCTATCCTTTGGAGCATCAGATTGTATTAAAAAATTTCCAAGGAAATGGAGGGAGGAAAATGCAAGGAATGATGGTGATGCCACAACAAAACCCACTTGAACTGTTGCAAGCGAAGTTCAAGGAAGTGGAGAACAATTACAGGGGATGGCTAGCCAAGCAGTCGTTGCCCGTGGACGCCGCCGTGGTATCGACCACCAGCGCTGCTCAGGGTGCTTCTATCGGTGCTTTCATGGGTACCCCCACCAACGATGTCTCCTCCTCTCTGCCAACTCCTCCTCAGGCTTCCCTCGACCCTCAGGCCATGGCTTCTCTCAAGCAAGCTCAGATCTTTCTCTTCATTTCCCTCTTGTTTACCACCTCCATGTTTTCACATACAAAGAATCTTGTAATTGTTTTACAAAGAATCTCTCATTAACTTTATAGAATTATTGATCGGTGTATGGATTTTTTTTATGTACGATAGATTTTTACTTGATTACAGGCTCTATCAGGAGGTCCCTTGATACAAGCTCGAAATTTTTCCGTGATGGCTGGTGTCAACGCAGGCATATCTTGTGTTATGAAAAGACAGAGAGGGAAGGAAGATGTCCAATCTAGGTTAACCTTTTCATCACAGTTTTCTTTTATCTCCATTGATTTCTTTAATGTTGTTTTGTAGTTGGGGGATATTTTAACTGGTCATAGGTTCATAGTTTAATAAGCCAATAAAAGGTACCAGTTGTTGACTGTTATAAAGGACTTGTTTTAACTGGTGACAGGCGAAAGGGAGATGAGTTGAATATATTATTTCGAGTTGTTAGGGAGATAACAAATTTTGAAGCTTTTGTCCTGTTGAACTAGCATTTTTCCCTAGCAGTTTTGAAGCTTGGAGCTCCTTTGTCCATAAAAAAATATGCACTCTTTTTCTTCTCACATTTGTTTTTCTAGATTCGACCACCCTCGCTTTTACATCATGCTTTCCTGGGGGTAATCTGCTTTCTGTATCTCCATTCAGCTCATCATAAATAAGAATTGCTATATCATATGTGGTGAGCATTATTGGATTGTTATGACTTATGTGAGACTATCTGAAGATTGTATAGATGAACCAAGCTTGTTTCTGAATAAAGAATTGTTGGCTTTGTTTTTTATCTTGTATTGGATGATCATTATACGTTAGGTTTACATTGTTGTTTAAGCTAAAATACTGTATGTTGCAGCATGGTGGCAGCTTTCGGTTCCGGGGCCATATTTTCGTTGGTCAGTGGTATGGGTGGCCCAAATCAGATTGCAAATGCTGCTACATCTGGTATTTCTTTCGCTCTTGTTCAAGGCGGTCTTTTCCAGGTGATTTATCATCTCATTAACCTACCTGAGATCAATGTGTTATTCAATATCTGGTTATTAATTGCTTCACTTGCTATGAACATGATGGAGCTAGCATAAACCTAAAAGCTGTTATAACATGCTGTGCCCAAACTTTAGAATCAGTTGTTCTTTGAGAATTGAGAGTGCCTATATCCATAAGCTTAAACTTCATATTCTGAATGGATACTGCTTTGAAATATTGTTATACTAGCCTGCAGTGTCATATTGAACAACCTCTGTTTTGTGATTAATCATACAGTTGGGGCATAAGTTTTCTCAACCGCCTGCTGAGGATGTGCACTATTCCAGAACACGGTCCATGTTGAGTAGTCTCGGCCTGCAGAACTACGAGAAGAATTTCATGAAAGGCTTGTTAACAGATAGCACATTGCCTTTACTCACGGATAGGCAAGCAGATGGATTGTCTTGATTCAACTTCGGAATTAATATGAACTGTGTAGATATACGCCCATTCATGTTGTGTTTCAGTGCACTTAGAGATGTGAAAATACCACCCGGACCCAGGCTCCTTATTTTGGATAATATTCAGAGGTTCAATTCTATCTTCCATGTAGGACAATTATACATTGCCCTTGACCACTGGTGCCTTTCTCACCTTCAGCTCTAATATTTGTCTTTAGGGACCCCGAGTTGAAACAGAAGCAAGGGGCGACGAAGGTGAGCGTATATCGTTAAGCTGTTTCACCATCAAGAAGAATTTTACAATTTGTCTGAAACCAAAGAAGGGTAGTTCGTATCTTCTCCAAGGAAATGAATTTTCCTTTTTATTTCTTGCTGTTCTTAGCATCCAATTTGGATAAACATGGTTTAAATTTCTTTAAACAAATTTTCTGTAGCTTAAACTACCTAAATGATCAGTAACGTTTGAGTAAGTTTTTGTTTTCTCCACTGAAATTTCAAAAGTAACAAATTGATCACTAACGTTTTTGTTTTATAACAAATCGATCTCGCCGTTAACAGCCATTACTATAGTAACGGAATGTTGACGCGGTGTGTTAAGCCAGTTGATTTAACATGTTTGACCATGCGAGACCCCTTTTATCTGACCGTTTGAAAGAGAGTTTTTTTCCATTACCAAACTGAAAGTTAATAAGTTTCTAAGGCATGAAACTAGACATAAGACGTAAAAAAAGACCTAAGGTTATCACTTCATTAAAGACACAAAAGGGTGTTCCCATTGATGACATCGACATTCATAAGACATAAAAAAGGACCTAAAGTTATCTCTTCATTAAAGACACAAAAGGGTGTTTCCATTGATAGCATCTTGTTGAATATAAGAGTTGTGTATGTGACTTTATTAGTTAAGGGAGTTGGTGGTTGTTAGCACGCAGTTAGTAAGTAGTAAGGATTTATTTATGATAAGTAATAAGGATTTAGTTATGATAAGTAATAAGGATTCAGTTATTCATAGCTGTGTGGCAGAAGTATTATAAAAGTTGTTCTCCCTTGTAAATCTTGATACGTATTCTTCAATATATCAATCTTCTTTTCATCTTTTGTATTTCTCTAAGAGATCAATTATGGTATCATTCGTTTCAAGATCCTGAGGGTTTGTTCGTTTCTGTTGCGTGGTTCCTGCTCGTGCTGTGTTTGCAATGGAGCTCTCTGTCAACGCTGGCAAATCCTTCACCAACATGAAGGTCAACATTGTTCTTGATGAAATGAACTTCCTGCTATGGAAGCAGCAAGTCTTGCTGTGTTTGCAATGGAGCTCTCTGTCAACGCTGGCAAATCCTTCACCAACATGAAGGTCAACGTTGTTCTTGATGAAATGAACTTCCTGCTATGGAAGCAGCAAGTCTTGCTTACAGTTCGCAGTCATCGTCTTGAACGCATACTAACTAGGCAGCTGCAACCCTTGCCTGAAACTATTATCGATGAGAATGGTGCCTCTGTTCACAATGAGTTGTATGAGGAGTATGTAGTTTAGGACAGTGCCCTTACGTCCTGGCTACTATCAACGATTAGTCCTCATCTATTGTCTCAGTTTGTTGGAGTTAAAACTATTGCAGATGTGTGGAGTACAGTTCAACTGTTCTTTGCGAATCGTTCTACAACAGTAGTCATGAATCTGCAGTATAAGTTGTAGTCTTTGGAAAAGGACAACGATAGCATGAGAGTTTACCTCACTTGTATAAAGGAGGCGTGTGATGCTTTATCTTCTTGTGGCAGTGTTATATCTCAAGCTGAACATGTTGCGAGTATCTTGAAGGGACTGCCCAGGGAATATCAACCCTTTATGGAAGTTATAACTACAATGAGAGGGTCTTTGTCTCTTGATAATAACTGTTTTATGTTAATCGATGTTGAAACACAATTAGTGGTTTTTATGCTCAAGAAGAGGTAGTACCAATGGGCTCCCATCTTGCTTATGGGAATCTTGGACAAAAGACAACTGGAGTGCAGTCTAGGTCAGACCGACAGACGACTCATCAAGAATCTGGTGGATGATTTGGTGGGCGAGGCGGGGTTGTCCTCGTATTCAGTGTCAATTATGTAGCAAGAACGGGCATATTATTGCAAGTTGTTGGTATCAATTCGATAAAAGTATCATTGGAACGATCCTCTGATCATCATGCTCACCCGAAGGATGGGATAGGTAGTGCTTACTACTCTAACTTTGAAGATGACGTCTTCGGTGTTGAGGGTTGTCACTGTTGTAATCACGGACAATCTGCTCAGGCTCATGTAACTACTACTGGTCGTGAGAATTGGGTGGTGGATTCTGGAGCCACTCATCATGTGACTCCTAACGTCACTGTCATTCAACATACAAATGAGTTCAATGGACCAGGTAAAATAGTTGTGGGTAACAGTGTTTCGTTGAATATTAATGCTATTGGTAGTTCTAAATTATGTTCCACCACTCGTGTTTTGATGTTGAATGATTTGTTGCGCATCCCTAAGTTAATAAAAAAAAACTTCTCTCGATTTCAAAGCTTGTTAGGGACAACGTAGTTTATTTTGAGTTTTATGCTAAGCATTGTTGTGTTCGTGATGAGAGCTTGGGTTAAGTCTTACTGCGAGGAAAAGAGATTGATTGCCTTTATTCGTTTGCCTTGAATACAACAATGACTGGGCATGTGCAAGCAGAAGCAAATGTTATTTCTGCTCCAGACAGTATTCATGAGCTGTGACACAGGAGGCTAGGGCACCCAGTATCTGGCACACTAGAAAATGTTTGTAAAATGTTGAATGTAAATATAGCAAAAGATTTAAATGGTGTTTGTAGTGCTTGTTGCATGAGCAAAAGTCACAAGTTGCCTTTTCCAGTTTCTAATACAGTCTATGATTTACCTTTCCAATTGATTTTCACTGACATATGGGGTCCTCATGTGGTTTCAAATAATTCTCGATACTACGTGAGTTTTGTAGATGCGTACACACGTCACACGTGGCTCTACTTGCTAAAAGATAAATCTCAGGCAATTCATGCATTTCATCTTTTCTAGCAGCATGTCAAAACTCATTTTGGTTCTCAAATTCTGGCTATTTAGAGGGACTGGAGGGGGAGAATTTCAAAGTTTGTCTCGAGAACTTCTTAAAGCTGACATTCAGCACAGGCTTACCTATCCTCACATGTCTGAACAGAACGATGTCGTGGAGAGGAAACACATACATGTTATAGAGTTAGCTTATGTGTTACTTGCAAAAGCTTCGATGCCGGTTCGATTTTGGGCATATGTTGTGGTCATGGTAGTTCATCTTATTAACATGTTACCCACAAAGGTTTTGAATGGTAGCAATCCATCTGAAATATTGCTTGTAAAAAATTCGGATTGCAACATGTTCAAGATTTTTGGATGTAGGTGTTACCCACATTTGCGAGCATATAATAAGCACAGGCTAGATTTTCGTTCTCAGCCTGCACATTCCTAGGGATTAGTCCTCGACACAAGGGTTGTTTGTATCTTGGATCTGATGGTCGTGTTCACGTTTCTCGGCATGTTGTGTTCGATGAATGGAGTTTTCCTTTTGCTTCCAAGGTTAGTGGTTCTTAGGGACCCACGTCTGTGCTGCAATGCAAGTCACTTGGGGTTATGACAAATATCAGTAAGCTTAATAATCATGACCATAGAGCTCCTGGTATACTAGAGATGGTCAACAATAGTGAAAGTTATCTGTTTACTTCAGCTTGCTTGCCTACTATGTCCACAGCTAGTGCCAGAATATTAGGATGCACTGGAGTACAGGAGTCAATTCAAAATAGCAAGGCAGTGGGTGAGGTTGATGAAGCTGTCAGTACAAGCGTTGGGCCTGTTGAGCAGCTGGTTGATCAAATGAGTAATGTCCATTCTATTGTGCCTGTTAAATAGACAATTGATCTAGTTGCTCAGTCAGCTGATCCTGTGGGTAATGTTCATCCCATACTGACACGTAAGTGCGGGGTATTTCGACCAAAAGTGTAGACGGGATTCTTAGATAACTCAATTCTTGCTACAATGGGAGAAGCATTTCAATCTGAAAAGTGAACGTCAACAATTAATGATGAATTTAATGCTCTGCAAGAAAACAATACATGGACACTGGTTGAGCTACCTGAAGGGCGAAATGTTGTTGTATGTAAGTGGCTGTTTAAGCTAAAAAAGAGCCCCGATAGATCTGACTTCGTTATAAAGCCAGACTTGTAGCCAAAGGTTATTCCCATGTGCCAGGCCAAGACTTTGTTCATACCTCTAGCCTAGTCGTGAAGTTCTCCACAGTGAATATCATTCTGGCGGTTGTTGTCACCAAAGGCTGGACATTGAGGCAGATAGGCGCTAACAACGCCTTTTTACATAGTGAACTAACCGAATATGTATACATGCAGCAGCCACCACAGGTATGAGAGGTGTGCTTCAGATGGCAATATGCTTGTGTGTAAACTTCAAAAGGCCTTGTATGGCCTGCAACAAGCCCCATGAAACTGACATGATAAGCTCAAAGCCAGTTTACTACAACTATTGTAGAGTCAAGAGCTGACGTGTCCTTGTTTGTTCGAAATAGGAATGGGTGCTCGATCTTATACCTGGGTGTATGTTGATGATATCCTTACTGGTCAGGTGGATGATGAAATATACGAAGTGGTAGAAACTCTTAATGACAAATTTGCGCTCAAAGATCTTGGTACACTTACCTATTTCTTAGGTATTGAAGTCAAGAGGAACGGTGATGTACTAGCGCTTAGTCAGAGGAAATACATCTTGGAGCTTTTGGAAAGAAATAATATGGCGAATGCTACACCTACCTTAACTCCAATGATAGTTACCTCAAAGCTTGTTGAGTAGTCTGGGAAGTTGTCTGATTCTCACGAATACCGTAGCATTGTTGGTGTTCTTTTGTATGTCTGTCACATCAGGCTAGATGTGGCGTTCAGCGTGAACAAGGTGGCACAGTTTATGCATGCCCCATGCGAAGCTCACCTGATGGCAATAAAGCGGATACTTCGTTATCTGGCTGGGACTCTTGATTATGGCTTGGTATTCTCACCTGGCAGTCTGGACGTTGCAACATTTGTTGATGCAGATTGGGGAAGGGATGCTGACAACCGTAGATCAATGTTCCGTCATAGTGTTTTTGTGGGTGATAGTCTCGTGGTATGGAGCTCAAGTAATTAGAAGGTAGTGTCTCGTTCGATCATGGAAGTGGAATATTGAAGCGTTGCAGATGCTGCAGCTGAGGTAACATGGGTTGAAGCTCTATTAATTGACCTGGGAATGGAGAAACAAGTTGAACCGATTATATGGTGCGACAACACGAGTGCCATTTCCATGAACGCAAGTCCTATCTACCATGCACGTTCCAAACATGTGGACCTAGATATTCATTTTGTTAGGGAGAAAG